AGAAAGCTAGGCCATCCTAACTATTTCCGTTACTGAAAACCGATAAGCATTATCTGGTAATCATAAGACCTTCAGAATGTGCCCATGCTTACGGATTTTTTTGGGATCACCGTAACCGGAGTGCAAGTTAGTATCAGTGTGGTGTCGCCCGCTCTACACATAGGTAATTTAATAAACAGATAAAAATACATAACACATTTATTAAATAAATAAAATTTACCATAATGAATAAAATTATCATAATATCTGACCCATTTCTTAAAAGTGTCTTAATATCTTCATGAATATGATGATGACATGATTTAATTTCTCGATCAATGGAGCCGCAGCCTTGCGCGTTTAGTTGGCGTGACTCCTATAAATTAAAAATATCATTTCCTATCTATTAACTAGCTGTTAGGATTTCATGGGTTTTAATTTTTTTGCACGGAACCCTAATTCTTTTTCTAAATTAAAAGTACCCTAAGCCTTCCTCCATACATCAGTTGTCTGCCACTGAAAGTCTCGTCAAAATCGGTTTAGCCGATTCGGAGCTTAGCCGGAACAAACAGACAGACAGACAGACAGAAAGATAGACAAAGATTTTAAAAATTATGTTTTTGTTATAAGTATCGTATGTACTTTCATATGAATTTAGTAAACTGTTATTTTGACATTACAAATAGACACTTCACTTCAAACAAAATTTATTTGTATAGATATATATTAATAGACAGGAAATGATATTAAATAAGATTTAGATATTATTAAATATCATTTAATTTATCTATATACAGAATGGGGTCCCACATATATGTAGGGTTACCAGATGAAAAAATTAAAAGTCCGGAGAAGAGGCCTGATTTCCATTTAAAAGTCCTGAGATTTTTTTACAATTTGAGAAGAAAACCTTACTTAAAAAGGTATCTTCACATATTAAGTATGATAAAACTGTTTAAGTACCTACTTGGATAAATAAGTTTTGATTTTAATTGTGGAATTATTACCAAAGGAAAATTATTTTTAGATTGTTTAACTTTTTATTAAAGAGATCTTTAAAATGTAAGCTGTATTATATTGAAAGTTCTAAAAGTCCTGAGATTTCATGAGATTTACAAAATCCAGCCGCAATCCTGAGAAGAGTCTAAAAATCCTGAAATCTCAGGACAAATCCTAGGATATGGTAACCCTACATATATGCAATAAATTAAACCACAAGTAATACTAGTCCATAGAAGTGTAGAAAAATTAAATATTAAATTAAAACCCGTAAAATAAAAAAGTGAAATTTTCAAACAAAATAAATATTAAAATAAATTCAGTAAAAGTAAACACTCTGTTTAGACAACATACCTTGACCCTTTGGAAGAGTGACAACGTTGCACGCGAGTGGCATGGCGGTTGGCGGCAGGCAGCGTTATTGTTTGTCGGCACGGCCTATGGTTGGACAATGTGCGACGAAATAAAAACTGACTGACTGACTGGCTAAACTGTTTAGGTATTTTACCGCCACTTTTTTATTTCGCGAAAATGGAACTGAACGAAATAAATATTATTGCATATTAGTAGCAAAATTTAATGATACCCTAAATTTTAAAATTTTCAAAATCGTTCTTGAATGCACAAGTTACATCGCCGCATAATGTTGTCCTGAAGCTTGCTCAAAAAATTTCGTTCAGGATCCAGAGCCAGGGCTTTTAATTTGTTAGAGGCGGCAACAATACGATTGCGCAGTTCATCTTCGGTTTCGAAAATCTTTGAGTACACTTCATTTTTAATAAAGCCACATAAAAAGAAGTCTAGAGGAGTGAGGTCAAAAAAAGTAAAGTAGTGTCAATATCACAGTGAAAAAGTAAACGTATTTAAAACACTATTTACACACACAAAGTCAATTAACTAATAAGTGTCTATTTCACCGTAAAAGAATTGTTTGACTAATTGTATTTATCTTATGGCTCCAGTATACGTTGGCCGAGCGCGCTCGTCGAGTGCGTTCGGCCAACGTGTACTGGGCCGTTTTGTGTGTATTTGGCATTTGCGGCCAACACACGCCCACAAGCCGTATAATGTCGGTTTTCCGTGCACAAATCAAAGAAATTTGGCGCAAGCCGCAAACATTGTTCACACGTTGGCCGAGTGTTCAGTTCATAGTTACGCGTCGGAGTAGACTGTAGTGTCGGCTTAATAAAATTGTTTCAACATGGCGACATGGACTAATGAGGAAATATTTATTTATTTATTTAACAGTTTATGTACACACATAATTCGATAGGAAAATGGTAAAAATATAATTATGTAAAAAGGTACTGCCTATTCCATGATGAAATTTCTTCCAGCAGGCCTATTGAAGGATAGTTGAAGGAAATAGAGGTAGTCAAAGTGTGCACTTACATAAATATACATATACAATACAAATATATACATATACATACACACACACACACACAGATATATATATATATATATATATATATATATATATATATACATGTATATATAAAAATAAATATTATATATTATGAAAAAATATATAATTCAATATAATATATTTTAATGTTACTTAAAATATGCATACCAACATATTACGATTTAATAATTATGGAGTGAAATATTTATTCATTGTTCATTGATTGATTCTCACAATGAATCAGTTATATGGAACCCCAAACATGAGCAACATAAAAATAAAACCAGAGTAAGTAACTTGCCTAACTGCATTAAATAATACATGTTTAGTTGCGATTTCAGAGTACCTCCCTAATGATAAATATTACTATAAATTATCTCTGCGTTTATGTTGCTCAGGGATAATGTAGCTTAGGGGCTTCTTTTGGGCTATCTTTTATTTTGAAAAAACCCCAGCGAAGCGGGCACGGGTCAGCTAGTAGATCCTATAAAGGTTTCTTTTTTCCTTTTGAGGTCGGAACCCTAAAAAGGACAAACTGGGATTATTGTTGTATGTGTAGTTTTTTTTCGTTCACTCTGAGACGAGTGAAGCGCTGTATAAGTATATGACAGCGGCCGCGTTTGCCCTAACGTCCATCATCATCTAGCTACCAACGCAGAATGAAACACGCCAACGTGTGAACGGCTCCACGAAAATCTGCCGAGCGCGCTCGGCCAACGTGTACTGGAGCCATTACGATAATACGATAATTATGTTACAATAAATAATTACGATGCGCGTAGGCAGCGAAACGCACCTGTATCCTGGAACAATTGCGCGTGAACTGGAAGCTAAACTTCCAAATTCCAAAATGGCGAAAATAATAAACGCCGCGTGCCTTGTGCCTTTTGTTTATGCACGCCGACAAAAGACACCGCTGTCGATACGTCGCAATACCAATAGTTTGCACTGCGTGGCAACGTCGCTTTTTAATGTTCAAGGATTCAAGTTCATTGAATCATTGACTTAGTGACCCAATTTTTTTTTAAAAACGTTACCCCCACACTAGTATTTTCTCCTGTGTCGTGGAGGCAGTTTACAAACATAAATTGCACAAGGACAAACATCCAGACCCGGAACAATTATTTGTAGGCCATACAAATACGGAACAACCGTGCGGGATTCGAACCAGCTGCCCCCAGCGCAACAACTGATTGCTAAGCCACTGCGCCACGGAGCCGTTCTACAGAGGGTTCAAATTTGCTTAAAATTAAAACTCTACTTTTTGACCTAATTACTGGGCCGATTATGTTCATTTTTGGTATATCGTCAGCAAAGGCGATAACAAGTATGTGGTTTCATTTATTGCATATATGTGGGACGTGTTTTTAGGTAAATGGTCGCTATGCCTCGTAGACATCTGCATATATCCTCGTTTACGAATAAAAATGCAGATGGGTTGTCCCCCGTGAGGACTTAGATGGAATGCCTCATTTCAAGTAAAAAGAGTCTCTGGTTTTCTACACTCACCAAATGAAACACAACACAGCAGCGCTAATCTGCTATTTTACGCTGATATTCTGTGAGAGCGTAGTCCTTCCCCGGTCGAGCCGACCCATTTCTAATATAGTTGCAGCATGGCTCTACCACCTAAAAAAGTTGTGGATATTTTCATTTTAAATTAGTTGATCTATACATATAAATATATTGAAGTGTCTGTCTGTAACATTGCAATAACTGGCTTCTATTAAGCTAAGGGGTTCTTTGATTAATTTACATCTCATCATCATCATCATCATTACAGCCTTTCATAAGTCCACTGCTGAACATAGGCCTCCCCCAAGGAATGCCACAAAGCACGGTCCTAAGCTACCTTTATCCTTCGACTTCCTGCATGTCTTACCAGGTGGTCACTTCATCTAGTGGAAGGCCGCACATTTCATCTACCGGTACAAGGCTGCCACTCAAGAACCTTTTTCCCCCCTCAGTTGTTGGTTCTTCGAGCTATATGGCCAGCCCATTGCCACTTCAGCTTTCTAATCCGTTCGTCGGTCACTCTGGTTCTACTGCGAATGTCCTCATTTCTAAATTTATCACACGAAGAAACCCCTACATATATTATTTAACGGGGGTGACCAATGTTCAGCAAAGGTCCTTTAATAGATTTTAACTAATGAATATGTTTAAAATAAAGGTTTATGTAAGCGACACTTTTTTGTATGTGGTAGAGCCATGCTGCTGCTAAATTATGGTATGTAGCACGAATGGATGGGCTGAATGCTGAATGAACCGGGGTAGGGCCACGCTCTGACAGAATAACAGCGTGAAATGCGTGTTTGGTGTGATGAGTGTAGAGAACCGGAAAAGTATTTTTTGCTGGAAACGCATTCCATTTTAGGCCTCAGGGGTGGCAACGCATCTATATTTTGAGTCTTAATCCAGGATAAATGTAGATGCCTGTGAGCCACAGCATCCACTTACCACCAGGTGGACTGTGTGCTCGTTTGTCAAATTTATTCTATATAAAAACCAGTTATGCCAATAAATTTAAAATTGGTGTTAAAATAAGTGTTTGTAAGAAAAACAATTGCATGGAGGCTTAAAGAAATAAAAGACATTATTATATTGAAACAATTTATTGCCCCTCCACTCGCTGCCCCCCGCTCGTCGCGAGCGCGGCGCGCACGAGGCCGGCCACCGGCGCTTCCACGCACAGCCACAGCGCGCCCGCCGCCAGGAAAGACAGCAGCACTGACCCAGCTAAGACTACCAACTGTAGAAATAACAACGCCGATAAAGGAAATCAACTATGGAAATAACGAAGACGTCAAATGAACGTGTTCCAATGTAGAAACACACTTACAGAAAACACAAAGCTAATAGTAATAACAATTTAAAAAAAAACTCAAACAACACGCATTAATTACGAGCTGTGATTATCCTACTGACAATTCTATATCATGGAAATGGCCGCAGCATTCACTTACCGTCAGGTGAACTGAAACTATGTGAAACTATTTCACTAAAGATATTGTCTTATAAGTAACTTTGAAAAACGAACGTTCTAAATTGGTTTTTGAACGGAATAACAAATGAATATAAAACAAAAAGTACGTTTATTGAATGATGACATATATTTAACATATTAATATTATATTCGTTTCGACAGTGATAATTAATGAATTGAAGGTGCAAAATTAGATTTAAGGTAAACTTGTACATGTTTTCTATCAAAAAATTGCCGCGCCAGTAAAATAACAAAATAATATAAACACAAAATGCTAAATAATGTATCTAAATATCGGTTGTACAGGTTAGATTAAAAAAATTGAATATGAAGGCACATTGGGGCACAGTGATCATTACTCGAACTGAAAGTAATGGTATAGGATTAGACTAATGTCTAATATTCCCAATATTATATTTTAAATTTTGTTTTTATGGGTCTTAAAATGGCGACAATTTACTAAACAGCCTAAACGGTATTTCGAGGGTCTTACAGTCTTAGTAGCTGTAGTATGTATGTTATGGATTATATCATGCAGCCATAGGTTTTTAATCAGTTCTAAATAGGATACTTTTATTACTCGCTCTATAGCAGTGTTTTCAACAGAACATATAATTATCTTTAGAGATACGCATAAAATATGAAAAACCTTGTCTTGGGAACAGTATTAGATACATTTAATTTAGATTTAACATGATCTTTTAACTGCACAAAAGTTTTAGAACAGAGTTTGCATACACCATTTTTCAGAAATAAGATTTCAGTGTTAATGTAATATCACTTAGAGTTGTATAAGCAAGGGACAGTATACAAAAAACCGCTTCTATACATCTTCAACGATAAAATCAGATTGAAGTATTACAAAATACTTAAGGCTGTATACTAGAGTTTTCATATTCTGATTAAGAACCTTAAGCTTACTTAGATCCCATAATGCAGACTTTATACAGGTTGAGCTGTATAATGTAGTTGCCCCCTAAATTCTGTCGCCTGTAGCCATGGCCTACCTACCTCGCTTCCTTCTACGCCTGGTTACTTACCAGCTAGTATTTTATTTTATAGAATAAGGGTGCAAACGAGCACACTCCACCTGACGTAAGTGGATGCTGTAGCCCATAAATACCTACATCTATCCTTCAAAATGCAGATGTGTTGTCACCCATGAAGAATAAGACGAAATGTCTCGTTTCCTGTAAAAAGGCAGGTCTTCGGATCTCTACACTCACCATACAAAACAAGGCAGCATTCATTTATTTTATTGTGGTATTTTGTGAGAGCGTGGTTCTTCGAGCGACTCATTCGTGCTACAACTACGATATAATTACAGCATGGTTTTACCACGTCAAGACTTTAAACGGAACAGAAAGAAGAGCTTACCACGTAATAATCTGTCATGTGTGTAGGGAGAGTCTGGGCACCAATCAGGCCTTTTATGACGAGAGTGTGCACTAAATATGTGCCGTAAGAGAGACGACCGGCCCACGTGAAGCCACGCCACTCCACGATCTTGCGATAGCACGCTGAAACGTAACACAGAAGATTACAACGAAGAGAAAAAAAAAGAAAGAGAGAGAAGAGAGATTTCTTATTACATACGTATAATACGTATATATATTTTATACGTAGCAGAGCCATGCTGCAGCTATATTAGTAGTATAGTTGTAGTACGAATGGGTCGCCTCGACCAGAGAAGGACCACGCTCTCACAGAATACCAGCGTAAAATGGCTGTTTGACACTGCTGTGTTTCGTATGGTGAGTGTAGAGAACCGGAGACCCATTTTAATGGAATAAAGGCATTCCATCTTAGTCCTCACGGATGACGACGCATCTGCATTTTGATTCTTTATTGAGAATGAATGTAGATGTCTATGGGTCACAGCATGCACTTACCATCAGGTGGACTATGTGCCCGTTGGTTACCCTATCCTATAAAAAATGTCACACACTGCCGTCAATAATACGACACGTGTTTCGCCTTTAATCCTCAGATGAAGGAGACTGCGGTGCCTGACCGTTAAAAGCTAATCTAAGCGGATTTTTAACATATTTAATTAAGACTGATTGTTTAGGCCCACTGACCTAACAAAAACTTTACTTACATTCTAATTTAAATACGCAGCTTATGATGAAGGTAACTATTAACAACTGAAACAGCGGCTTGTACAGGGTCGCGTACAACACTTTGAACGCTGTCGGGATCATGTTGTCTTCACTTAGATAGAAGATCCCCCCGGAGAGGACCACGAGGACTGCGATTGGAAACATCAACCAAATCACCCATTGGTATTTCTGAAATTATTAAAAATTAAAGGTATGTGGTTATATATAAAGCTACTAAAAAGATGAAAATTCTCTACTGTTCCTTTGTACGACCTATTGAATATGCATCACAGGTATGGAACCCGCAATATGAGATTAATAAGTCTCGTATTGAGGGTGCACAGGAAAGGTTTTTAAAGTATCTTGATTACAGAGCGCATACGGATTCTCGTGACTATGAAGAGCGGTGCAAACGGTAACACTTTCTCCTCTTATCTGTTCGACGTAATATTAATGATTATGTATATGAGCATCCACTTACCATTAGATGGAATGGGTGCTCGTTTGTCACCCTAATTCTATAAAAAAGCCTTTGTACTGGAAAAAAGCCTTTGTACTGATGAGCTCAGGTCTCTTCTTTCTAAGAGAAAACACTGCCCCATTAAGTGTTAGTAGACTTCACATCATGTCCTTGAAATATTCTATTTTTCTCTGACAGTGCATCTATAGATGACGATCTAGTTCGCTGGTCGAGTGCTCTAGTGATGCCTAGTAGATTATGAACGCCGTGTGATGATGGCGTGTGAGAATTATGCTATCAACCCCTTGGTATGAGGCGATCACTACCATGCTGCTCCTAAATTTTCCTTTTTTTTTTAAAAACAAAAGATACTAGCTAGCATTGCTAGTAGCTTTTGTTTTGAAAACATTAATAATATTCCCTTTAACTACTCCTGATAAGCTGAAATGCTTATACATGCATGCAGTGGTTCACGACAGTAGTTGAATGATAAATTAAAACCGACGTCCTTTTGAGGTCGCGGCCCGCACCACCATATACATATGTGGCGGCGCTGTCATCGCGCCACAAGCGAAACACATCGAAGCCTAAATCGCGCTAACAAAGTTCCGAAGTTAAAGCAGTATATATTATAGAACACCTTGCCCGGTGGGAGATCTCCCCTTGTCCTTTCATCAAGAAAATATGCCAAAACCATGCTGGGCTTAGAGAGTGCGTAAAACACGCATTCAAAGTCACATATAGGTACATATATAATCAATAGAAACATGGTTTTAAGTGCGTATGTAGCGTATCGGAATAAACATTTATGATCTGTTATAATTAAAAATTTTAAATTTTGTACAACCGACTTCAATATTAATTACTCGTATTAAGAATAACTCGAAAACTATTGGTGTGAAGCACTAGTTTTCAATAATAAAAGATAATCATCGAAATCGGTTCACCCAGTAAAAAGTTATGAGGTAACAACACACATAAAAAAATATACAGTCGAATTGAGTACCGTCTCCTTTTTGAAGTCGGTAGAAAAAAGGAAGAGAGATGTGTGCGTGAATGCGTGTCCAGAATTTGAGCATAGTTTCGGCATCACTTGAAATGTACGCAGCGCTCTGTCTATCTTTCTTTGTTGATCTGAGTTTGTAGCTAGAAATAAACGTGTTTTCTTCTTTCTATTTGGACGTGGTTATGCAAAAAGGATCTAACCCTAAAGAAGAAATCTAATTTGAGGTCATGAAATTTGAAGAATGGATCTGTATGGTTTGTGTTTGTGTTTGTAATTTTTCTTCTTATTTGTGTTACTTTCGCTAAAATTGTTGCAATACATAATAGTATAGACCACAAACATTATTTTTTGACACTAATTACATTGGATCCTTTAAAATCAGTATTGTAGGTAAAGTGGGCCTTCTGCGGTTATTGTTCTAAATGGTCATACCACCACCATGCTTAGGGACAAGGTAAGGATAGGGTAACCCTACTGCTCACCTTATATTTATCCAAATTCTTTCCCTCGTCCTGCCAATGGTAAGCAAGGAAGCCGCCACTGAGGCCCATGATGTAAGTGGAGAGATTGGCGTGACCAGGTATATATATATAATTGAAAGTATAGTCCAATACATATAAGTTTCGGCATGTTCTAAAACAAGAGGGTTTTATAATGTTATACTTGGATAAATCACACAGCAGCTATCAGCAGAATGTGTTGACTCGACCGGTGGACCACGCTCCTACGGAACAGAAGCGTGAAATAGAATAGCATATTATTACTGTGTTATGTGTAGCTTGTAATGAGAATCGCATACACTTTTTAGTGATAGCGAGGTGTTCCATCTTCATTCTTAAGGGTGAAAACTCACACTGCATCTGAATTTTATTTCTTAATCGAAGTTAGATGTAGTCATCTATAGCCCACAGCATCTAATTACCATCAGGTGGACTGTGTGCTCGTTTGTCACCCCTATTCTTTGACGAAATAAAAAAAATGTATTAAAAATACGTATACAGTAATGTATTTTATTTAATACTTTTACTGGCTATTAAAGAAATTGAAGCATTGTTTGGACGTTGCTTGAAATGTAGGTACGCAGTGCTCAGTTGATATTTTTTGTTGGTCTCAGGCTCGTATGTCAACATTTCTACACACCCAACTACGACAAAAATGGCCTTTTAAGTTACTGTAATTTATAATGAAAATAAATATCAGTTAGTATAACCATTTTAATCATGATATTTTAATCAATCACGAACTTTTAAGCTTTTTTTTATAGTACTTTATAATTGCATAACCTTTGACACTATGTCTGCAATAAGCTGCCATGTTGGATGTATGTGACGTCATACGTCATATGGAATGAAAGAGCACTAATCTTCTAATTGCATCTAACGATATCTCTTTTGGTAAAATACGAGTAATTTAGAAGGTATCAGAGGAATGAATATTTTTTTTAATAAAAATTAAGTAACAAACGAATTTATTGATGATGATGGTAAGATGCAACTGGGGCGGAGGTTAGTCTACTCCTCGCATTTTTTTACATTATAAGTAGGACACCTATTCTGTTCTCCTATCTGGAGAGCAGTTTAGTGAATGGCTCTGGGGGGAGCGCAGGTCGTGCTGATCCCCAGGGCAAGTCTGAGGAGTTCTTCTTTCACGTGGTTGCCGCATGTTATTTGGTCTGGTTCAATAGGAAACGGACACAACAGAATCACTCAGACGATCCTCATTTTGTTTTCTTTTTATGTCACCCTCTTTTTTCCTATCTTAACCCAATTCAAGGTGTTAAGCGTACCGTGCCTGTGGATGCGTGGCTGGGGGGGAGGGGAGGAAGTCCAGTTGCAAATGGTGCCTACCCGAGACCAGGGCGATTCGGATAGTATTTATTTTATTTATTTTACCCTGCAACCCTACGCCCCAACCTGGGATGAGCCGAGAAGTAGAGGGCACGTCTGCAGCCGAACCACAGTCGAAAACGAACCAAGGAGGGGAAAAGAAAAAGTTCACTAAGCCTTATAAGCTTAGTGGGTCAGCACGGAAGAGGTAACGAAGGCTGATAGCAGCTGAGATGGGAGCCAAAGAAGCCATCTCTCTCTGCCAGAAGCCCTGGGACGAAATTCCTCTGCCCAAACCTCCCCCAGTTTCTAAGGCGCAAAAACGCAGTTGGTCTGAGGAGGAGTCCCCCAAAAACCAGCCAAGGAAATCTGTGAAGCTGGCAGCGGGAAGAAGAAGCTCAAGTTCAGTGCCGTAGCTGGCTCCGCGCGTGTAGAAATTCACAATTTGAATCCTATAAGCGTGGAGCAGATGCGGTTGGTCCACCGGGCACTAACGGCCTGTGGAGCGCAGCTAGGAATGGGACCAAAATTTTCGTGTTTCACCCATAAGTCAGGTTAGATTCTGGTAACGTGCCTGAATAAGGCAAGCCAGGACTGGATTGTGGGTAAGATCGGAAAATTGAATTGAAGGGTTTCAATTTTTTAGAGCCCACGCCCCAAGGCCAAATGGCTAACCCCATGGGTAAGATAAGGCTCCTCCAGGCCAACTGATGTAAGGCTAATGCTCATCACACAGCATGGAGAAGCTCTAACATTACCGAAAGAGGGAGTAACTTTTTGACTTTCTCATATCTAATCGCCTGGTAAGCCTATACATAGTTTGTGCATCAACTTTTTGTAACGCGTGCTAGGCAGGAAGTTTTAGATAAAACCTTTGCTGCCAATAACATATCCAGGTGGATTACTGACTGGCATGTTTGTAGTGAAAACTCGATGTCTGCTCATAGATACATTAAGTATGTGATTAGAGCATCACCAACTTATGAAACTGTTACTTTTAGGGATCCAAAAGTGACCTCCTGGGATGTCTATAGAGATAGCCTAAGGAGGAATTTGGAAACGTTTCCTAAAAGCATAAAAACGATTGAAGGTCGGGATTTAGCGGTGGAGACCGTAGGTATCCATGAAGCCTATGAAGACAGTTATCCTGTCAATACCAAGACTGCAACACGAAAAGTTCCTTGGTGTAACACGAAAAGACCAGGAAACTATTCAATAGGGCTAAAAACCAAAGAAATTAGGAAAGCTAAGAGAGCATCGTGGAGGAAGCTATGCGAGGAAGTTGAGTCTTTGCCTTGCAGTGCAAGACTATACAAAATGCTATCGAAAGTTAAACCTTATCAGATCGGGCTTTTTAAAAAGTATGATGGTAACTTCACTAATAGTGAAACGGAAACACTGGAACTACTAGCGTCAACCCATTTCCCAGGGTCATATATGACTCTTGCCTCGAACTCTTTCAGAGCCCTGCGAATGCCTTGTAATGAGGACTGTTGTAGGGCTACAAAGATAATAAGGCCAAATCTGGTGCAGTGGGCTGTTGACTCCTTTAAATCATATAAGACAAGTGGAGAGGATGGAATAATGCCCATCGACCTACAGAGGCGTATCGATATCCTTCTTCCTTATCTGGTGAAAATCGTCAGAGCAAGTTTTGCACAGAGATATATTCCAGAACGATGGACAATTGTCAAAGTTCTATTTATACCTAAGACTGGTAGAAAGGACTACGCTTTACCAAAATCTTTTAGATCTATAAGCCTTTCTTCCTTTCTTCTTAAGACATTGGAAAAGGGTATAGATAGATATATCGGAGATTTAGATCTAGCTACGAGACCTATAGACTACAACCAGCATGCTTACTGCAGAGGCAAATCTACGGAAACAGACCTAATCACAGTTATTGACAGGGTCGAAAAAGCGCTGGAGGATAAAGATATAGCTCTTTGTGACTTTCTAGACATTGAGAGCCCCTTCGACAGTAGCCCTACATTAATGCTGGTTGGGCCCTGACATCTAAAAATATTTACCCCATTACCATCAGGTGGGTGAAGTCGATGTTCTCAAACAGAAAGGCAAAAATTGATCTATTTCAAACTTCGATTGAGATTGCAACTACAAGAGGCTGTCCATAAGGTGGTGTTTTGTCACTCCTACTTTGGACTGTTGCGGTTGGCTAATTATTGTATAAGATGGCAGAACTTCGCATTGACACACTGGGTTGTGCTGATGATCTTGTGATCATTGCGAGGCGCTTTTGCCAAAATACTTTATCATTAATCATATAAAGAACAATAAACACCATAAACAACTGGTGCAGGGATAACAGTTTATCAGTTTAATGCTGATAAAACTGTTATCCTCTTTACCAAAAAAGAGACGGTTGGAAAAATTAGTCACACCAAAACTCAATGGTAAAGAAATACCATTCTCCACTGAAGTTAAGTACTTGGGCGTAACAATCGACCAAAAACAAACGTGGTACTCTCATCTTAGCAATGTATGTCATATGGTTAAAATTGCTTTAGGTACCTTCAGTCGCATGGTCGGTAACAACTGGGGCTTGCGTTCCAGTATAATCCTATGGCTTTACAGCAGTATAGTGAGACCGATTCTTACCTACGCCTCCTCTGTCTGGTGTAATAAGGCCATCCAAAAGACGACTACGGTCAGACTAAATAGTCTACAAAGGACAGCCTGCTTAATGGCAACTGGACCGATGCGATCATTGCATGGAGCGGCTCTTAATGCACTTCTAGACCTAATGTCCCTTGATCTTTAATTAGATCAGGAGGCGAAGGCTAGTTTGTATAGGATCTCTGGACGTATTGAGCTTGCTTTCCTATCTAGCTCTCTCTTCCTATAGATTGATGCTCGACTCAATCAAGGAAACACCGTCCTTATGCATGATCTCAGATATCATGCGTCCACTATATACTTTTAACAAAAAGTATACAGTGGAACTACCCTCCAGAGAAAATTGCCTGAATGGGCAGGTCATCTGTGAGGTCAGTAGCCTTATATGGTATACTGATGGGTCAAAAATGGGCCTCAACGTAGGCTTTGGAATTTATGGGGAACACCCCAAATTCTAGCTTAGTATGAATTTGTGTAGATTCACCTATATCTTCCAGGCAGAAATTTTCGCTATACTTCAGTGTGCGGCAATCAATCTGCAAAAACACTGCGTTAACCATATAATCCATATTAACTCTGATAGTCAAGCAGTACTGCTAGCGCTGGGATCAAACTTGGTGAACTTGAAAGTAGTTGGAGACTGCGTGAACCGTTTAAATGCCCTGAGAGGTAACAACAAGGTCGTTTTAAGATGGGTTCCGTGTTACGCGGGTATTGTAGGCAATAAAATTGCCGACAAGCTCGCACGAACCGCGTCATTTTGTAGAATCTCAAAAAAAGGCCTCGCCCGATTGACCATGGACCTCAATCACTTAAGATGTGGTCTGATACACTAGGCTTAAAACACTCTAAAACCTTAATCCAGGCTTTCGATCGTAAATTCGCTTCGGAAGCCCTGGGATTAGGTAAAAATAAATTGCGCATTCTGCTAAGAGCCCTGACTGGACACTTTTGATTTAAATAGCACATGTCCATCCTGGGACTAAGCAACTCAAGTATGTGCCGGTTTTGCTCCATAGAGGAGGAACCGCCTTTACACATCCTGAAAAATTGCAGACCCTTAATGCGCAAACGCAGCACTCATACTGGTCTCTCTAGACCTGCATAGCTGCTGGTATATAATAAAAAAAACGGAGCAACTGTAGTCCATGGGCACCTGCAACCAACTACAAATAAACAACACAGATGTGTTGTCACCTCTGAAGAATAAGATGGAATGTTTCATAAACTGTAATTATAATAGATCTCTATTCCGTTTAGACCAGATCTCAGAAGTGTATGCTCTACTATTTTGCGGCAGAAATAGATAAGAGGGCGGAGGAAGAAGGTAGGCGGATATGGGTGGGCAGAGACAAACTCTAAGCGAGAAAATAATTCCTATCACATAGTAAGCTGAATCATAAATCTTTATCTTTTTAGGTTCTTGATTTACATTGGCTTTGCCGTGGTCGAGTAGAAAAAAATACTCTAGTGCATTAAAATAACAAGAATCCAGAATAAAATTTACTGACTGAGATGATTGTAGGAATAATAGTGGCGTTCAAGCTTATAAAATAGGTGAATGTAATAAGCAAGAACACATAATAAAAATTACTTACTCCGGTGATTGTATAACGACGGCGTCTAGGTTTAGGAAATAGGTGACACTGGATGTAATGACCAGCGAGAGTAAGAACAAGGTTACGAGAGCTGCCTTCTTGGTCCGCATCGTTCTGCACGTTATGCAAATCAGTAGACCAACGCAGAACAATTGCGTATCTGCCGCTAGATACCTAAAGAAAAAGTTAATGTTCTTATAAAACAGTTATAATATTTTTAAACTTAGAAATGAGAATTTCCGCAGTCAGACCCAGATTAACCGACATAGCCCGACGGAATAGTAAGCTGAAGTGGCAATGGGCCGCCCATATAGCTTCAAGAACCGATAACCGAAAGGGAAACAAGGTCCAAGGGGCAGGCGAAGAGTAGGGCGACCCCCACTATATGGAGTGACGACCTGGTTAGACATGCAGGAAGTCGATGGATGTAGGTGGCTCAGGACCGTGCTTTGTGGCATCCTTTGGGGGAGGCCTATGTTCAGCGGTAGACTTGTGAAGGGCTGTAATGATGATGATGATGATGATGAGATGATAGTGACTCTAACACTTCATTAAGTATCAGAGACATAGCTATATTAAGGGTATATCTTGAGTTTTTGAGCAAGAATTTGATTCCAGAACTCGTGACACATTCTATAAGATTAGCAAGGAGTAGACGAGATTCCCTGATAATCACCGAAAACTCGATTGCCTTTGTTGTTTCTACATAGAGACAACACTATTGAATTTGTTGTATTGAAATTGAATCACAGCGAATTCTCGAGAATAAATAATTTTTGACAATGTATTCATTGTGGTGATCATAATCATCATCAACCTGCAGCAGTCCACTCGCATCCAGTTCCAACCAGCCATCTGATTGGAACTGGATGCAACGCAGATCTGTTATAAGTTTTATATATGCATTTATTGCCAAGATGTGGACAAATTATTAAAAGGATATAGCATCATAAAATAGAAATATAAACGTTTTTATTCAATGACTAATATATGAATATATATATATATATTAATGAAAATTAATGTTTGTTTGTTCTGCATCGCATTGCCCTAAAAGTTTGTCAATTTATTGCTTGCACTTGCGCGAAGGTTATAAGCATAGTACAATTAATTTACAGTAGGTGGCTCGCGTATCGTACCGACAAGTTTATTTGAAAGTCATTTATTATTTAATTTCAATGAATGTATTATGATTCTTAATTATATAATATAATCCTTTCAAATTTAAAACGATATTTCCATAATTATTTCAATTGCGCCTGGTACCAGATAGTAGATTATAAATAATACTTATTGAAAGTCGTCTCTATGTTTAATTTACCACTGGTTCAGTCATCAGTTGCATGGGATTAGCAATCGTCTTTGATCTCTACTACATCACACTAAAACTTTGCAATATCCGTTCCAATTAAATGTTTCCCTTTTATGTATTCATTGTTTTACTTGAGAGAATTATTATCAAACAAGTTGATAAACCATAACGATTTGTTGCTAGACACAGTTGCTAGTTGTCACATAACCTATCCATTTTAGGTTATGTGATAGTATTTCGTTTTAATATCGTCGTCGCAAAATGAGTATTTGCTCTGATGTGCCGAATCTACATCAAAGGGAAATAGAGCGAAGGTAGTAATAATAATATTTTTTTAATAGTATAAGGGAGCACACACCACCTGATCCATAGGCATCTACACCTATCCTCGATTAAAATTAAAAATCAGATGCGCTGTCAGTTTTGGGTACTAAGATAAAATGCTTCGTTTCCAGTAAAAAGGGTCTCCGGTTCTCTACATTCTCCATACGAAACACAGCAGCATTAAGAAATTGTTCTAATAACTTGTGCATATCTCCTGATTTGTTTCCCTCTGTCGCCTCTAACGATACGGGGTAATGGATATTTTTACACTGCGACTACACAGTTGAACGCTATACACCGCCACACGGCAACTAATTATCACTAATTACCATCAAAGCACTTACCAACTTACTGGGACACAAAGCTTGTCATCGTAGATATAGTTTTGTATGTATAAAACGTGCGCCCACCAGTACTGGCGGCAGGCGTTGGATTCGCTGGTCACCACTAAGTCCCACATCGGTCCACTGCCGATGTGTCTCATTAATGTGGAAATAGTGGCCAGCATGAGTCCGTACGTTGGAGTTAACCTGCGACAAAAACTGACGTTGAAAAATACATTACAGTTTTTAATTTTGAATCAAAATTTAGATACAATATACACTGAAATGATCGAAGAACCAAGAAAAAGTGAACAGCTGTTCTCATTTAGTAGACACTATATTATTATTTTTAGTTTTTTGATTTCATTACTTTTTGGGTTAATTAAATATGCCTTTTGAGTGAACTAAAAACTAAACTATAACTAAACTAAAATAACAGGAAGATCAAGAGAACAACTAGAACATCGTCTATATAGACACACTTAAAACATAATGCTCTGTTTTTCTACCATTAGCGGTGGAAATATTAACTAATTAAAATGGGATGTAGCCTATAGAACCTCTGTTCCTCTATTCAATAAAAAATTGAACTCCGAGCAATATGATATGGTCAGATGTCATCACAATATGGATTCTTGTTTAAACTTATGATGTTTAGTAAAAAATAATAATATCTACATCGCGTTATCTAAGTTTTTCATTGTTTTAGTATATAAGGATTGTAAGCTCAATTACTGTTAGACTGGTCGTGTCTGAAATTCTTTGGTTAAACCAAATTGGTGGGCCTGATTCACTACCTTTTCAACCATGCACGTATGTTCTCTAGTTTGAATTATGGCTTGGGCAACCCAAAAGAGACATAATCGCATGGGTTAGCTACCAACCTACCAACCTTACCAACCATATAACAATACAAGTACCAAATAATAAATATCATAGCAACCTAAGCGTTGGAGATATGCTCAACAAAGTATCACATTGGACCCCGCTAATTTAAGACCTATTTCTGTACTACCAAGTCTCAGTAAAATTTTTGAAAAAATAATTTTGTATCAATTGTTAATTTTTTTTAATACAAATAAATTACTTCATAAAAACCAATTTGGTTTTACAAGGGGTCGCTTGACGTCTGACGCCGGTGTTGAGCTTATGAAATATATTTTTAATGCCTGGGAGAAATCACAAGATGCCTTAGGTATTTTCTGTGATCTTTCCAAGGCTTTCGATTGTGTTCATCATGAGACATTAATCAGAAAACTACAACATTTCGGTGTAAAAAATTTGTCGCTTATACTTATTACTTCATATTTAAGTAACAAAACTCAAAAAGTCGTGATTAATGGTAAAGCTTCCTCCGGATCGGTAGTATCAATGGGCGTTCCTCAAGGCTCGATTTTTGGCCCATTCCTGTTTAAAATTTATATTAATTTATTTATTTATTTATTTATTTATTTAGAAAACCAACAGCGTATATAGAAAATATTAACATTAATGTAACAAACTAAAAGTATGGCCAATAACAGGTTTCCCTTATATTGTTTGATGGTAGGTGTATTGTTGTTAGAAGAAAAGGAAAAAGAACAATCTAATAGATAAATTATAAGCAAAATTATAAGCAATTCAATGTAATGAAGGTGGTCATAAGTTTACAGATCAGGAGAGATAGTCAGGTAGAATGATATATTAGATTACCTTTATATATATATATATATATATATAAACATATAAGATATATATATATATACATATATATTTACTTATGTATATATACATATTAATTGTTTAAATATATAAACATAATACAAATAATTAATTATAATATATATTAAATAAAATAACTTAAGTACTTATATTTATATTAGTAGCCTCAAAAATACATATAGAAGAAATAGATGAGAGAATATATGATTGTATGTGAATTTAACTTCAACTGCTCTATTTCGTAATAGTTTTCTTGATGTAATCTTTAAACGTAAGTTTAGATTTCGCAAAGAGGTCAATGTGTCCAAATTGTTCATTATATGTACGAGCAAGCCGCGAAAGAACAGTGTTTCGACAGTAGTTTGAATGATGCCAGGGAGTCTGTAACAATGTAGTATTGCGGGTACGGAATTTTGGAGTACGAAAGGTGATTCTTGAGACAAGATATGGACAGTCAATATTACTGTTTATTATATCATATAACAAAGCCATGTCAAGCAAAATGCGCCTGTGTTCCAGAGATAAGAGATCGTGCTCAGTGCAACTGTCTGTGTAAGTATCGATTTTATTCCGACAGCGAAAGTTAAGGTGATTAACAAATATTTTTTGAATACGCTCAAGGCGGCTTTTGTAGACATTGTACTGTGGAGACCATATTGAACTAGCATATTCCAAAACACTTCTGACATATGCAAAATAAACCATTTTAATTGTATTAATATTCGAAAATGGTTTACAGATGCGAAGAACAAAACCAAGATTTTTATAGGCTTTACTGATAACGTAATCAATGTGTTCGGATAGTATCATTTTATGATCAAAAATTACGCCTAAATCCCTAACACTTACTTTTCGGCTGATTTCTAATCCGTCAAAGTGATATTTATTTAGAATTGGCTTAGATTTCCGTGTAAAACTAATACATTCGCACTTGCTTGCATTGACAGTTATATTATTTATTTTGTAATATTCAAATAAACGGTCCAGGTCTTTTTGTATCAATAGGCAGTCATGTATGGTGTTAATTTTACAAAAAATCTTCTTATCATCTGCATACATGAGGTAATTTGTGTGTATAATGCACGAACCAATGTCATATAGGTAGGCATTGTAAAAAAGTGGACCTAAGTGAGAGCCCTGAGGAACACCTGTAGGTATGTTTATGTAGGTCGAACGGAAACCACCTATCACGACTGCTTGTGAGCGGTTTGTGAGATATGATTCAATCCATCGGAGCAAGTCACCGTGAATCCCTAATATTTGTAATTTGTTGAGCAGGATCATGTGATCCACACGATCGAAAGCTTTTTCAAAATCAGTGTAGATCACATCAACCTGCCCACCTTGATCCATATTTTCAAGGACAAAAGAAGAAAAACTTGCCAGGTTCGTAGTGGTGGATCGCCTTTGTAAAAAACCATGTTGCTGCTCAGGGAAGGCACGTGAAAGCGTGGAGTAAATTACGTTATATACTACTCGTTCAAGGATTTTAGCCGCGGTGTTCAAAATAGAAATGCCTCTATAATTATTTATTTCTGTACGTGATCCCTTCTTGTGTACAGGGATTATGTGTGCACACTTCCATTGATGCGGAAATATCCCTTCACGTAGAGAGCGATTAAATATAATAGTCAAGGGGAGAGCAAGTGATTTAGCGCATCGTGACCAAAAAAAAGAAGGTAACCCATCACTACCGGCACCTTTGTTCGTGTCCAAAGTTTTCAACATTTTTTCAATTATTGCAGCGTTTGTCTGTACATTAGAAACGGTGTCAGTATACAACGATTCCGTATGTGGATATATGTAGTTATTACTAGGAATACCAAATACACTCTTGAAGAATGAGTTGAAAGCATTGCATATGTCTATACCATCGGTGTACTCTATATCTTTCAAAGACATTTTCTTAGGGTAACCTGACCCACCCCGAATGGCTTTGACGAAAGTCCAGAATATTTTAGGATGTGTTTTGATGCTATTTTCACAACTTGACGTAAATTTATTAAAGCATTCTCTCTGAACACGGTGTTCTCTTGCTCGGAGTAACGAAAACTCATCGTAATCTAATCTATTCCTGAATTTTTTTCCAACGTGTGTGAGCATTGTTTTTCTCCTTAATTATTTTTATTAAAGCAGGTGTGTACCATTTAGGATATGATCGCTTCCCTGTGTTATAACTAAAGGGCACATGTAAACGAACACAACTATCCAGTATGTTATAAAAGGTATTTGTAGCTTCGTCTACAGTGCCTGTACATAAAAGAGACCTCCAGTCCTGTTCTAAAAGATATGTATTAATTTTTTCATAATCAGCCCTCCTGAAATTTCGCCTCGGCGCAGCTGTTTCCCGTAGAGGAGTAATGTTTAAATCCAAAACTATGAAGCAAAAAGAAGGATGTGCGTGGTCCTCCCTGAGTAGCGGCGCAGCCGCAGGGATGATATTCAGAGGTAGATTAGAGAATGCAAGATCTAATGTGTTACCAGCATGATTTTTTAAAGTATTAAATTGTCTTAACCCGTGAAATGTTAGTGTTTCCATCAGCTGGATACTCGCTTCTTGTACCTCAGTAGGCCCTTTTTTCAAAGCTGTATATCCGTTTGGGTTCCAAGAAATGAACGGCAAGTTGAAATCTCCTAATATTACAAAATTATCATTTGGAGAAAGCTCGATAATACTATTAATTTTTTGTTTAATAAAAACGAGATCCGATGGCATTTGATGAGGGTCAGGGGCAATATATGTCACACAAATATGTAAGTTGGAATTTGAAGCGCACGCGCTTGAAGGAATAGTAATCCACAATAGCTCAGTAAGACCGCATACGCCGAGGTCACGATACATGGCACCGAGTGTACGTCGTGTCAGTATTAATACTCCACCACCAGTACTTTTACCACTATTACGCAAATCTCTGTCAACCCTGAACACGTCATACCTATCGTCGCACAACTCACCATCAAAAATTCCACTGTGTAGCCATGATTCTGTCATAATTATAATGTCGTAATCGTTCGTCAAAATATTTAGTCGTAATTCAAGACATTTAGTCCTAAGACCACGAACATTCTGATAATAACAGTACAAATTATTTACATTATTTACAGCCATTAATCAAAATCAAATATGTACCCAAATGTGTTAAATTTATAGTACTTTAAAGCTACACAGAGTAACAGAATTAATAATTTGTTTACGTTAGACTTAAGTAGTACGAACAATGATATATCACTTCGGCAGTTGCTAGTTAATAGTGACTTGATTTTTTGGTATAAGGTGGTAGAGTATAAAATTTATCAATAAGATATAACAGAATGAATCCTTAAATGATTTGTGTAATATAGTCGAGTCAACATAAAAGGGTGCGAGCTTATAAATATGCAGAGCAGTTATTAAATATATATATAAATATCGCGAATGTAACAATATAGACGTGTTAAGTATTGTTGTTAGATTTAATAAATAAATATTGAACGGGTAATTATTATGAATAATAACAATATAATAGATGAATTCATAGATTGACAAAGTAAAATAAATTAATACATAATATACAAGACGCCAGAAAAAATATAATTGGTATTTTATTAAATATAAAGGATATAGTAAAAGAAACCATAATATATATATAGTTGAGTGACGTTCGTGAAGAATATGGATGCAACTTAGCTGCACAATTATCGCGCGTGTGACTAATACACTTAAGACCAAAAATATTTCATTAATTGAGCTCCCTTTACGTGCGGTCAAACAATGATATATAATATAGACAAAATGAGATAAGAGAGACCAATGAATTGCTTTTACAACGATGGAATTGATAAATTTAAGCAATATAACGTACTTGAAAAGAGAACAAAACAATATACAATGTAAGATTAAATTAATTTTAAAACGTCTCTTTCCTGTGATATATGCAAAGCCGGAGATGTGTCGTTCTTCCTGACGTAGATCCTCCCGTTTTTTGTCCACACATATTGATACTGCTTAAGTTTCGCCGTCTCCCTACATTTCTTTAGTAGAAGTTTATTGCACTGTGTAAGATGCTCATTGACATATACGGGACGAACGCTGCCATGTATGGCAAGGTCTTTAGTGGTCAGTCGGTTTTTTCGAGTTCCAGAGATTATGTTGTCCTTTAGAAGACGAGATTTAAGCTTTGCAATTATATTTTTCGGGCGGCCCTGTTGTTTGATTTTCGGTGTGACACGATTAACTTCTAATATATCATTAGGGGAAATAGTTACATTAGACTGCTTAGCAATGAATATAATTAAATTGGTTAAGTCTTCATCCTTGATTTCAGGAACGCCGACGATCTCTAAGTTCAAAAGGCGATCTCTTTGATTATTTGTGTTAATTTCCAATTGTAATAGTCTGTTTTCGTTAGTCAATAAGTCCATTTTAGATTCTAGTGATTCGATTGGTTTTATGTTAACAGATAATAATTCCATTTTCTTTTGAACATGGTCATATTGGTCGCAATTGAATTGTACAGAGTTTTCTAAAACTGTGATTTGCTTCATTGTCTCGTTGTACTTTAGGTCAAGAGATATGACCGACTTTTTAATCTCGTGATATTCCTGACGGACGCTGCTTAGTTCCGACATGATCTCAGCAAAGGATGCATTTAGTTTCTCAAGATCGGTTTTTAATACGAAGTCTAAATTATTTTTAATTCCTGATATTTCATCTTGAATTTCCTTTTTCCAGTCATGTAATGTTCTACGAATCTCTGAGGTAAAATTATTGAGAGCCTCTGAGAAGTCGTTGTCGTGTTTATGCTTTCGAGTAGTCATATTGCTAGGCTCACCTGATTTATTGATGTCAGGGTTGGAATTGTAAGGCTTGCGTGGCGTGGAATCTTTCCTTATATGAGATAATACACAATCTGCCACTTTCTGATTTGGTTCGGCAAACATCAAAATCCGGCGGTGTTCACGAAAATGTCCGTTTTTCACTCCTAAAATTTTTTCGTGAAATTTGTGCTTATAGAAATTTACACCACTGTATAAAGCATCTTTTTTCGCATCAAATGTATAATTCAATTCATCAAATATATAAAATAATATTATAATAAATATTTATTTTAATATATTTCAAAATATGGATAATTGTCACCTGTCACCTTTAATATAAATATGACTTACCTTATCTTGTAGGGGCAATCACGATATAGTATTATTTGTTGACGATACCTCTTTATTTTTCAAACTCAAACGGCAGTTAATTAATTATGACGATATAAATAATGCTCTATCGAAATTAGTACATTGGTTTAATGCCAACAATATGCTCTTAAACGGCAATAAGACAAAGTGTATTAAATTTACAATACCTAATGTTTTACATTAGGTATTGTAAATTTAATTAGCAAACAGACTTGGTTCTGCAGCATATGCTGTAAGAAAGATTAGAAGTCTCCCAGATGTTGAGACAGCTAGATAAGTGTATTTTAGTTACTTTCATAGCGTAATGTCTTATGTATGGGTAATGCGACTGATATTGAAGGTATATTTGTTTTGCAAAAAAGAGCCGTTCGGGCGATTTATTACCTAAATTGTAAAGAGTTCCTCAGACAAAAATTTAAAGAAATAAACATATTAACTTTGGCATCGCAATAAACATATATAGCTTAAATAAGAATAAGGATGTGGATACTTTAAACACTAGAAACAAAATTAAGCTTGTTAACTGCTAAAAATAGCAGTTACTAGACTCCACAGAATCAGTAATTCATTTATGGGTCAATGTATATGCTTTTACGACAAAATTCCAGAACACATTCAAAGTTTGTCAATAAACAAGTTTAAAAGTTTTATTAAAGAAAAACTATACAAAAAGGGTTATTATAATATCAAGGAATACATCAATGAAAATAACCCCTGGGAATAAGGTGATCACCACCATGCTGCTTCTATGAAGAATCATTTAAAAATTGTATAAACGAAATTATTGTTAAGTGAAATATGTTTAAAAAAAAGTCCCGCTGGGTTTCTTATTGGTTATTCCCAGGACAGAGGTATTTTCCGAACCAGTGGTAAATAAAAATGACTTTCAATAAGAATTATGTAATAATCAATATTGAATAAAAAATTATTTTATTCTATTCTATTCTATCACATGCCTCGTTACCACTGTATCAAGTAAAAGACATCTCCCATAATGCCATTCACACTAAATAATTGTAACTGGTCAAGTAGGTATTCACTTGACAAAGCCCTTTATCTTTAATAAAAAAAAAAAAAGTATTAACTGCCTGTCTGATCAGGTGTAGCATCGCTCAGTAAACGACGCTGCTGCCCATCTTCTGATTTGTTTCTCTCTGTCGTCTTTTAGGCCACCCACGTGATGATATGGGGTAGTGGTAATTCTTAAACCGCCACTATACGTTAAAGGGAAGGACCTTGCTCTCACATAATAGCAGTGTTAAGTAGCAGCTTAATATTGTTGTGTTTTATATGTTGAGTGTAAAGAACCGAAGACACTTTCTACTGGAAACGAGGCATTTCCTCTTAGTTCTGAAGAGTGACAACACGTCTACATTTTGTTTTTTATGCAAGGATAAAATTAGAATTTGTACAGAGACACAGTATTCATTTACTATCGAGTGGAATGTGTGCTCGTTTGTCACCCTTATTCTATACGAAAATTGCGAACGATAACTGCCAAACCCTCATTATTATTATATTATTGCTCAACAGTAAAACGTTCTCTCGAGATTCTGGGTTTTTCGAAGTGTCAACTATCTCGGTGAAAAATTCAAAGCTTGCGTGAATTTTGTGACACCCGATACAAATAAGGGGACAAACTAGCATACAACCTGATAGTCAGAGGATGTTATAGCACGCTCGCGATTGCGTTTGAATGGATACAAAGCATTTTTGTACTTGAATCTAGAAGTCTTAATTATATTTTATATGATAAGGCTGCGTTTGCGCCAAACGATCACACAGTCCACCTGATGGTAAGTAGTTGCTGTGGCCCATCTATCCTCGCTTACTAATCAAAATGCAGATGCGTTGTCACCCGTGAGGACTAAGATGGAATGCCTTATTTCCAGAAAAAGGAGTCTCTGGTTCTCTACACCCATAATACGAAACACAGCAGTGTTAAGCTGCTATTTTACGCTGGTATTCTGTGAGAGCGCGGTCCTTCCCCGGACGAGCCGACCCATTCGTGCTACAACTATACTACTGATATATATGCAGTATGGTTCTACCACGTATGAAATTAATCCTTATTAACTAACTTATCCTTCATATTTCTTTATTTTACCTGACCCATCTCAATAGCAATCCTTTAGGAAAGTGCCACCATGAGACCTTATGTTTCTCTGCATTGATCTCGTAGTTGTACGCCAAGAGGAAGCTTGACATCACGAAGAAAGTGTGAACGACCAGTTGACCATTAAAGAGGATCTGTTTAATCGGATCTTCGTATGCCTGAAAGATAAGGAAATTATGAGAATCAAACGCAAGTTTCACAAGACGGGGAAGCAAGATACAATAAATACAATTACATCAAATTTCGTAAAAATCCTCGCGAAAGAATATTAACTCCTACCAAAGATGATACGTGAGGCGATTGAAACTAAAAAATATCCTAATTTGAATAGAGAAGGTGGCTGGATACTACCACTTGAGTGCGATCCTATAATTAATCAAATTAAAACTAAACCCAAGCATACCACTGAAAAACTTCAAGACACAGTCAGTTCATTTTGCATAGATTGGACTGAAATGAATAATTCAAAAGCTGAAGGTACTCCGAATTAACTCTGCCATAGGAACGTGAATCAACTCAGTCCGCTGTGACCATGGGTGCTGCAAAGCACCCAAAACGTCGGGAATTAAAGATAAGTAGAATTAAATGCGATAAAATCCGTAAAAGTCGTTTTAATCTAGATTAACTAGGTTTAAAAATTACATTTGACAAAAGAAATTTATTTTCTTACGTTAAAGACATAAAGAAATTCCATTTTATTTCATTTTGACATTATTTATTAGGCATTCAATCTTCCTAACCAACCCATAATCGTAAACTCTACATAAATGGCATGCTTCGGTACTAGAAAAGAGGCCTCCGGTTGTGGACACTCAACATACAAACACAGAAGCATTCTAGTAATAATTTTACGCTAGCATTCTGTGCGAACGTTGGCTATTTCCCGGTTGAACTTACACATTAGTTTTTTTTCTGTTTTGTATAAGGATGACAAACGAGCACACAGTCCACCTGATGGTAAGTGGTTGCTGTGGCCCATAGACATCTACATCTATTCACGTTTGCGAATCAAAATGCAGATGTGTTGTCACCCGTGAGGACTAAGACGGAATGCCTCGTTTCCAGTAAAAATGGTCTCCGGTTCTGTAGATGTAGAGACACTCACCATACGAAACACAGTAGCTTTAAGTTGCTATTTTACGCTGGTATTCTGTGAGAGCATGGTCCTTCCCCGGTGAAGCCGACCCATTCGTGCTACAACTATATTATTAATATAGCTGTATCATGGCTTTACCACATATAAAACTGCTGCAGCCATAAACATATAGTAAATGCCATGCAAAGGAATGTCGTTTGAATAATATTAGTAAATATTCTTTTTGTTAATGATTTGATTTTTTGCGCCAGTACTAAATATAACCCTTTTCAAGTATGGTCTCCATATTAAGACTCCTTTTTTGCCTAAGATCCCGTCTAGGTAGGTACTATCCTTTTACTTTTTCCTGCCACCAAGCAACAGTGCGTGCACTGATTGTGTTCCAATCTTAAGGGTTAGAGAGCCAGCATAATTACAGGCTGTGTTTCCATCTTAGTCCCAGAGGTGACAACGCATCTGAAACCTTTTTTCATTTGAAGTTAGTGGCAGGTTTCCATGAGCTTCAATAGCCACTTACTTAGTCAATGGATGAAGGTGGCTTATTACCGTATTCTGTGAAAATCCTACCTGGAGACGACTACGGGGAGACCTATGTTCAACTGTGGACTTGAGACGGGCTGTAGTATTAACGATTTTTTTTATAGGATAAGGGTGACAAATGAGCACACAGTCCACCTGATGTTAAGTGGTTGCTGTGGCCCATAGACATCTACATCTATCTTGTATTACGAAACAAAAAAAAGATGCGTTGTCACCCGTGAGGACTAAGATGGAATGCCTCGTTTCCAGTAAAAATTGTCTCCGGTTCTGTAGATGTAGAGACACTCACCATACGGAACACAGCAGCTTTAAGTTGCTATTTTTCGCTGGTATTCCGTGAGAGCATGGTCCTTCCCTGGTCGAGCTGACCCATTCGTGCTACAACCATAATATAGCTGCAGCATGGCTCTACCATGTATTACCTATCTTTACTGATTTACTACTAATCTTTAATGATTTATTTTGAAAACGATGACTTTGTAGTTGTTCTACAAGTCAATTAGTATAACTTTACCTTCTCAATATACAGTGTATTGTCTATATAAGCATATGCCATGATGAGCACCACATGTGAAAATATAACGCACACCATCGTCATCGCCCTGGAATTAAAATGTATTGCATTTTAATTAACATAATAATTGAAGAACATAATTGATTGAGCCATGGCAGCTCACGGGCCAAGTGCTCGCTGTAAATTTCACAACGCGAGCAACCCGGGTTCGATCTCCGTCGGTTATGATAATGAAATGATCAAATGCAATTTTAAATACTGATTTTACCACGTGCTCGGCGGTGAACTAAAACATCGTTTGAAAACCTGCATGTCTGAGAAATAAGAAATAAAATATTTTGAGGACGTGAAGTTCGCCAACACGCATTGGGGCAGCGTTGCGGACATTTCCTTGCCCTAAAACCCTCTTTGAATGAGAGGAGGCCTGTGCCTAGCATGGGACGTATATAGGCTGTAGCTTTAATTTTAATTATTGAAATCTTGCTTTTTGGAGCGTAAGGGTTGCATTATTCATTCTAGTCATGTCATGTCATTCCTTCATTTATGGTAGCCTATTCAAAGTTCACGCCTTGACGTAGGTCTTTCTCATAGCGCCTCATAGGAGGCATATTTGCCACAATTACCACGCCATGGGTTGGCAACTCTATTTTCTAAACATTTTTAAATCTTCTCAAGCAAATGCTGCTGTCAATCTCCTGTTTCAGTTTCCTAATGTCCCTTTTTACGATACCCACAGGGTGATACTGGTTAGTGGATTCAATACACCTGCTTCAAAGTTATTTGTTACCTGCCAATTTATTATTATTGACTGGCTTGTTGATCTAGTGGCCTTGAACGCGATTGCTGATCATGAGGTTCTAGATTTGAATCCCGGGTCGGACCAAAAGTTTTATCAAAAAAGAAAGAAAAGAAATAAAATCAGGTACTGGGTTTTGCTGTAAGAAATTCTCAATAACAGCCCGGAGTCCGGAAGTTGGCGGTGTCTCACCCCCATGCCTCGGAAAGCACGTAAAGCCGTTCGTCCTGCGCCTAATCTCGCCGGTCGAGTGTGCTTGCACATACACTCGCACACTATAATATTCTACTGCGCAGATGCCTAGTCTCCATTCAGACTGGCCGTCGTTAATTGTCTAAAATTCTTACTAATATCAACATTTACATAAACTCTGGATTATTCGAACGAAGTTTTTTATCGGACGGTACGGGTTTGGCAGATGGGACCTAGGCGACAAAAAGTGTAAGTTTTTTTCGTCACTACCCTTTGTGTCATAGTGTAGACGGCCTTGGCGGCAAAATAAGAAAGTGAGATGGAATAACATCCATCTCCCTCACACTTTTTCTTATCTTGCGATGAAACAAATATTATTTTATTTCAAATGACGCTTCATTTTAATAGACGCTAGTGATTCTTTTATTTGTATTTGTTAATCAATAATATAATACCTACGTATATCAATGATAATATACTACGCAAAGAACTCCGTTCCAACCGAGTGTTCCACGACACTCACGCAATTTTTTAATACCTAGTTACAATTTCTGTAGTACTTCTAACCTCAAACCATGAAATGACTTCAGCTTCTGCAGTCTATGGTCTGTCCCGACACCACTTGGCGCCACTAATTTTTCCCAATTCCGCCGTAGAGAAAACGAGAGTACATATAGATTACCTGAAACAAGGAATATTAATTATAAATTCGTCAAGTTTCATTACAATCGGTTCAGTCATTTCGTAGATCAGTCCAGACAGGATATGTTTCACACCATTTTATTTCATTAATCGGATGTAGACATAGTAATTTTTACTAAATTTAATGTAATGGATTTCCGCAAAGTAACACCTGATTCTATTAATTAGATAGAGAGACAGACAAAAATTCTAAAAATTATTAATATTCATATCTTAATGACATACAAATAACCCCCTCAAATCAAAAAATGCAGTTATTTCGATATGACAGACATAAACTCCAATTGTATTTATATGTATAGTTTAAAACTATTTTTAGGTAAAATAGGTGTCACCTTGACAGCTTTTGACCACTAAAAATCTCCCCGTGGTACTAAAGTACAATCATGTCTATAATATAGTAAATTAGAAGAATTTTGGTCAAAATTAGTTACTCCCATGGCCAGATGACGATAGCATTGTTATGAAACTTAATGAAATTTGCTGTAAGTTTAGTTGTTGTTTTGAAACCATGAAATGGGAATCTGTTAACTGTACAATGGTCACGCATATCAGGTGGATTGACGATCATAGTACCAATAGGTTTCCCACCTTTGACGCTGCCAACCATCGCCAATCTTAGTATGATAAAGTGGCATAACGGATATATTACCACAGCCTTAATCTTTCTAGCAATTCCCATAGGCGCTAATATCAGTGTTTGTTATATATTGCATCTTGTACAATCGAAAACTTTAGAAAATAATCAAAAGTTTCCGTGATGAACTCGGCCAGAAGAACTTAAAACAAAACGTGAAATAAGTTCCACATTACCTGATTTGCTATTTTCATGACAGAAGAGGACATCGTATAAACTTCCTATAATATTGAGTGCAATTAAGACCATATAAACAATGATCACAACAAAGTCACTCATATCCAAAACTACATGGTCAATGTCCCTTTTGCAATAGTGTATATGATTTAGTTTCGCTTGTATATTGTAGTCTTTCCAAATGGATTCGTTCAGGCATACCTCAAGGGTCACATTTAGGTCCCATGTATAATTCAAATGTCTACAGCTTTTGGTTACACACACTCCTCTGTGTATCTGTGAATGGTTGTAATGTTTCTTTACATTTGCTGAGTATTCCTGTAACAAAGAACATTTGTAGATGTCAACGTCACTTTTGTTTTTAATGTTATCTCGGATTATTAATTTTTACTTGAAGGTGTTTTTTGTACATTAATGCACATTGACAGATTTATAAAGTCTTCTAAAGGCTCCGCTGTGCCACCGCTAAACTATTGAGTCGTCAAACGCTCCTACTTCTACATCATCAGCCCTTGAAATACCACCAGCGTAAGCCTCGTTGCAGGAAGGGTTTGAATTAATTGTCTCTCTTGACAGGCTTGGTCAAAAATGATGGTTTTACCGCCATCTATTGGAACCTCAATTTCTGGCATTTCCCATAGTCAAAATACCACTTTTGAATACAGATCTCCCCGTAGATTGCCTCATAAGGAGGGGGGGGGGGGGGGATTTTTCATATTGATACGCTTGGCAGGCAGGTTCACAACCGCAGTTTTTATATTTTATTTTTATATTATGTTTTACAAAGACGCTGCTGCCTATCTCCTGGTTTGTTTCCCTCTGTCGCTTCCTACGATATTCTAACACTGCTACTACACGGTGCTGCGCCGCCGTCACAAGGCTTATAATAATTTAGAGGGATAATAATTTAAAATTTCCAAGGGTTTTAATATTAACAAATAGTTAATGCAGTATTTCATCTCATGAACGAGCATATGTGTCTAAACCACATCAATTCGCCTAGCAAGCGTAAAAACCGTCATCACAATCCCAAGTTATACATCACAAGTCAGAAGCTGTAAGGAATGGTATTTGATCGTTTGTATGGACTAAATGTCGCCCGGATATTCTCTTAAATTGGCACATTGAGCATATATGACATTGTTGTCACACCAAAAATGCGGGTTGGCAACGACAGTTTTTTTAAGTTGTTTTCAGGAAGATGATGATGGCCATTTCCTGTTTCATTACGTACTGTGAGGAAGTTTATGTACAGCCGAGTTAATTAGAGGGCGTTGGCGATGATGACTGTCAAAAATATTTTGAGAGCCTCGTTTACTTTTTGGAAAATACCAGTCACTAGCACAAACTAAATAGGAACACTCACGCGTATTATGAATGTTTAGCTCTTAATTGTTTCCTTTAATTAGTATATCCTCAAATAATAGTTATGGTTGTTTATTAGATTTATAATTCTCAGTTTAGAAGATAATTATAGACCTCTACTATTCAGACCTTCACTGCCATTTAGAATCTAAGAGTGTGTAATTTTTCTAATAGTACTGCTCGGTAGCTGCATAAGGAAAAACCTTTTCATATATTTTCAACTGATTAAAAAGATCTCACTTGGTTCTCAGTTCGTCGGATTTTTTACTCTATGTTCAGTGATAATTCTTTACCGCATTGACCGATTCCAATGATTCTGTTTATAGAAAAGGAGCACCTCAAGGGTGGTCACCCTTGAGGTGCTCCTTGGATGTTAGGTTCCATGAGGTGATCATCTCTACAATTTGAAAAGACATCTGAACGACGTATTGGTAAATTATTCCTTGCCACAACAACCGATTTGGAATTTGAAATGCCAATCTAGTCGTTATAGCAAATTATGACAGCGTTCGGGAAATTACGGCACATTCTCTCGTCAGGTATATTTCAAAACTTGAAAACGAAACTGCACAACCAGTGCGTGTTACCAGTAATGACCTATAGAACTGAGACGTGGTCCTTCACTGCTGACCGGATGAGGAAGCTCAAGGTCGCTCAGCGAGCTATGCAGAGGGCTACGCTCGGAACTTCTCTGCGTGATAAACTTAGAAATGAGGATATCCGCAGTAGAACCAGAGTGACCGACATAGCTCAACGTATTAGTAAGATGAAGTGGCACTGGGCCGCCCATATAGCTCGAAGAACCGGCAACTGATGGGGAAAAAAGGTTCTTGAGTGGCGGCCTCTTACCGGTGGACGAAGTATAGGGTGTCCCCCACTAGATGGATTGACGACCTGGTGAGACATGCAGGAAGTCGATGGATGCAGGTGGCTCGGGATCGTGGTGTGGCATTCCTTAGGGGAGGCCTATGTTCAGCAGTGGACTTGTGAACGGCTGTAATGATGATGATGATGAATAATGAGGGAAGAATATCACTTACATGTATGAGATGCATCAGGTCCGAAGGTCTCTCCGAGAACAGATCCACGTCGACTAGACAGTATGTGCCACCGGGCTCCAGCATACAAGTGTCGAAGTCATCGAGGCCGTATAGTGGTGGCATTCGGCTGTACTCGCTACCTGCGCCAAATTCAATTAGTGTTTTTTTTAAAATTAATATAAAGCTTTATCACCGTCACTACAGCCTATCAAAATATTATTTATACATGATATAGTCACGTTGCAGCTACATTACGGTTGTAGCACAATTGGGTTGGCTCGAACGGGGTAGGACCAAGCTCTCGCTGAATACCAGCGTAAAATAGCAGCTTAATGCTGTATTGTGTAGAGAACCGGAGACCCTTTTAACTGAAAACGAGGCATTCCTTTTTAGTCCTCAGCTGTGACAACGTATCTGCGATTTGATTCTTAATCGAGAATGGGTGTAGGTGTCTATGGGCCACAGCATCCACTTATGATCGGGTGGACTGTGTGCTCGTTTGTACCCTTATTCTATAAAAAAATATAATTCAATTCAAACCCAAGGTTAGCTGGTAGAGAATGCCATATAGCATTAAACTCGCCTTTTGTACAAATATTTAAATAAAATAAATAAATTCATGGAATAGGGAAAGGGTTAACATAGTTTATTCATTTTTCATTATTGATAGTCCTAAGCCTGAACAATTTGAAGGAAAATAAAAAAAAATCTTCACTTAGAATCATCATCATCATCATCAATGCAGGCCTTCACAAGTCCACTGCTGAACATAGGCCTCCCCCAAGGAACGCCACAAAGCATCATTATAACTCCCTAAGAATGAATGGTTAAAAAAATTTAGGCCTTTTTAGGGTTCCGTACCTACCTAAAAGGAAAAAAACGGAACCCTTATAGGATCACTTTGTTGTCCGTCTGTCTGTCTGTCAAGACCCTTTTTCTCAGGAATTCGTGGAAATATCAAGCTGAAATTCAGACCGAATACTCAAGTCTACTGTCCCTTGGAGCTGTGAAAAAATTAAACTTCTAAGCCAACGCAATCAAAAGATACAGCCGTTTATGCCGCAAATTTTCGACATTCGTAAGGGAATCAAATCCTACAGGGTACTTCCCGTGAACTCAGAATCTTAAAATTTGGTACGAAGCAACGTTATAGCACAGATAAAGAAAAAATTGCGAAAAGCATAAATTTTTAGTTACATCATATAATAAAAATATTTTTAATAATTTTAAACTTATATACCTACGGATTTGTTCTGAACCCTCGGTGCGCGAGTCCGACTCGCACTTGGCCGGTTTTTTTTATTTACATAACAAAAGATATTGCGTACAAATCTCAGATCGATGATTCTTTCTTATCTACAGAACTAGATAGATGAGATAGATAGAGGGGCAGCCTTGTATTGGTAAGCGCAGTGTTGGGCAACCTCCTCCTAGATGGACTGACTACGTGGTGCGACATGCAGGCAATCGATGGATGCAGGTGCATCAAGACCTTGGGGCAATCTATGTTCAGCCGAGAACTCGTGATGAGTTTTTTCTCTTAAATGTGGCAAATGGCCCTTTGACTACAGTCCCACTTTTAAGTTAAAAATTAGAGAAACCATTGTGATGATTTGTAGGGACTGAACTGAACGAGTGGACTGCTTTATTTAGCAATAATTTAAAATTAAAAATTTTGTACAGCCGACTTCAATATAAGTTATTTAAGAATAACTTAAAAACTATTGGTCTGACCTTGATCAAATTCATATGGGACCACACGAGAAGTACCAGCTTTCAAATAAAAAAAGAATCATCGAAATCGGTTCACCCAGAAAAAAGTTCTGAGGTAACACACATAAAAAAAAAAAAAGAAAAAAAAAACATACAGTCGAATTATATAGTTCATTAATTTCTTTACTATGACACATAATGCGCTGATAACGTCGCTCATATAAATAACTGTAGATTAGTATGCACAATATAATCAGTGTCGGCGCTGTTAATCCGCCAGTGTCTCATGTTTGCCGTGCATTTTCAGACATACATATTTGTGTTACTAAGTATTTAAAAAATGAGTACAATAATAATAGAACAAAATCTAATAAGCTCGGGTTAAAGTTTTAGGATTAAAATTTTAAACAGATAGAACAGATACTTTTTTATTCTATATAAATTATGAATAATAATTATTGAAATTCAATTTTTTGTTTAATTTACTACTGGTTCGGAAAAAAACGTGTGATCTGGGAAGAATTAGCAAGAAACCCATCGGGACTTTAAAAAAAAATAGCTTACAATTATGTATGTTACACCATTAGCAACATAATACGTAGTAGAGCTATGCTGCAGCTATATTAGTAGTATAGTTGTAGCACGAATGGGTCGCCTCGATCGGGGAGGGACCACGCTCTCACAGAATACCAGCGTAAAATAGCAGCTTAATACTGCTGTGTTTCGTATGGTGAGTGTAGAGAACTGAAGACCCTTTTTACTGGAAAAGAGGCATTCCATCTTAGTCCTCACGGGTGAAAACGTATCTGCATTTTGATTTGCAAACGAGGATAGATGTAGATGTCTATGGACCACAGCCACCACTTACCAGCAGGTGGACTGTGTGCTCGTTTGTCACCCTATCCTTTAAAAAAAACACAAAACAAATTAGAAATATCTTGGTAGCGATCACCCCATTCCCATGGGTTATTATCATCCATAAATTCCTTAATATTATACCTAGTCAGGTCATAAATTCTGTCATATATTTAATATAAAATAATTGAAACAAGTTTATTCATTATGTAACCATTTATATACCAAAATGAACTTAACAAAACGTAGATTTTTATGACACTAAAGTTTATTCAAAATGACCTCCGTAATTTTTAATACAGGCCTTCAATCTGCGCGACCAGTCGTCTATCGCAGCACGAACGAGGTCCATGTCAATATTGGCGGCTGCCTTAATCAAGGATGTCTTGAGTGACTTCAAATTGGGATGAGGCTTTGAGTACGCCTTTTCCTCCAAGTGTTGCCATATCTTGTAATCAAAAAATAAATAAATAACGGATTCAAATCTGGACTGGAGGAGGGCCAATCTTCGTGCCGGATGAAGTCGATTTCACGCGCCGCCAGCCAGTCTTGTATGCTCTTCGCTCTATGAGCTGGCATCGAATCTTGTTAGAATACCCAGTGCCTGTTATTGAACATGGTATGAGAAACAGGTTCCACAAGGTTCGTCAGGACTGTATTTTGATACACAACTGCATTCGTTTTTACACCTTTCTCACAAAAATGTACCTCTGTTAAGCCCCAATAAGAAACTCCCAACCATACCATGAGCGAGGATGGAAAATGACCTCGTTGGACACGCGGAATACGGTTGCTCGCTTCTTCACTACTGTGTGCGTACACCTTATCATTTTGTTTTGTTTGTTTGTGACGAACTTTTCTGCATATACGTCACGCACGCGGCGGGCATTTTCACTATGATTTCTTGCATTGGTTGGTGGTAAATCGCTTAATGCTAAAGATGGTACTTCTCGCCATTCTCCAGGTACAATGGACCCTGTGACTCAATCCTCAGTTTCCAGTGATCGTTGTTGCACGTAGTCCACTGTAGTTTTCCTGAGCCAATTATGTAATGCACACGTCGTTTTAACAAGTTGTTCAACTTTTTGCACTGACAATGGAATCGCCTTTTCATAGATTCGAAATTTTGATACTAATATTCCAAAAGAGTTTTAGACCACTCGTCGAGCTCTTGACAGCCGATAGTTAAATATTTTTTGTTTATCGCCAAACTCTCCTCTAGTATTATATGGTTTCAAAACATCCGTCCGCAAAGGAAAGGCATCATCTGCGACGATTACGCCTTCCTTTGGGAAATTTAGAAGATTCAATCATCAATAGAGATCAATAGATGAATACTAAAATTCTTTTTGTAGTCGAAATATTCAGAGCCTGATCTTCCTGGGCATCTTATATTCACCAATTTTCCATCCATTGCACCACAACAGTTTGGAAAGTTCCATAATCTATAGTAGTCTTCCATTATGTTATTCCATTCATGTTGACTTCCAGGAACCTGTAATAATAAAAGTGTCAGCATTTTAATTACAGGATGCACCACAGACTCAAAATGAAGACTCTGCTGAATCTGAGCAGACTCAAGCTGGCAGTGAGGAACAGAAGACGCCAAATTCTGAGATTAGTAGGAATGGAAGTAGTGAACTGATGACTCCTTCATATTCTCGAAAGCCAACAAACAAGAAAAGGAAGATTGATATACCGATTGATAGAGCAATTAAAGAATTAAAAACTATAAGCGAACAAGCCAAAGTCCAAACTGAAGATGAGTTTGATTTGTTTGCAAAAGTTTGGCAGTACAACTCAAGAAAATGCTCTTGAACAGGGCTTTGATATGCCAGGAAAAACTTCAATCTGTGATGACTCAGGAACGGTTAACACAGATGTCACAATCATTTCCTGAAGTAATTTACTCGGACTCCAGCACTCCATCCCCATTTACTATCAACCAGTCGCCTCTATACCAAAATACAACACCGGAGTATAATTATAGTAACTAACTTGTCACCGAACAAGTTTATACGCAACCACAACCAGTGCCTGTACCCGTGAGTTCACCACAAGAGACCAATCAAGTCACAATTGTCCAAACATCCACCCAAGAGCAAGAAAACATACTCTCACAAGCTCTAAAAAGTATTATGTAAATGTTGATTGTCTAAATTAAAATGTTTCAAGAAACTTAATATTTTATTAAATAGATATAACTGACCTTAATAACCTTTCCAAGGGCTGTCCAAATGGCTTCACATACTTCTTGAAAAAAGTAGGATATTGTATTTCGAGGTACTCTGTACAAAAACTCTAAACTTCCAAAACTATCACCTGTAGCCAGGTATCTCAGTACAATTTGAAGTTTTATCCGGGTAGGTATGCTATCTCTCATTAAAGTGTTTTCTTTCGTTATTAACGGAGCAACAAGAAGTAGAAGTTCTTCAAATTTACTTTCATCCATTCGAAGATGATTACAATATGAATCAGGATCTTCAACGGCTAGTTCTCTCAACAATGTATTGGAAGCTCCTAATAAATTTCTTCTTGCAATCCGTGGTCGCACCCACCACCGTCGACGTTT